GGGCGAGTTGTGGGTGGGGAATGAAATGAATTTTTTTCTTTTTTTTTTTCTTTTCTTTTACTTCATCTTTTATTTAACTTTTTCTTTTCCTTTTTACCTTTCATTTTTTTTTTTTTTTTTTCCCATTTAAACAGCAGCCCCGGGAGAAATGTCATTGACCGGCAAGAGAAATCTCTCTCGACGTCCAGAGCGGAAATGGGTGAGTCGGGAACTCGGGAGCGTGATGAAACTGAACAGAAATTTGTATGTATAGCGTTTAATAGCAATTAAATATAATATTTTGTGTGTCAATAATAATAATAATTAGAATTAAATATGTTGACATGCGTTTACGTCATGTCAACTTATTTAATTCTAACAATTTATTATAAATTGTATGTATCAAAAGTTTTGTAATTTATTCTATTTTATTATAATAAAATTAGTTTTTTATACTATTTGTTTTTTATTTATGCTCCTGATTTTAAGTGTGAATCCATTAATTGTGTCTTTTTTTTTACACCTCCATTTTTTTAAGTTTGCCTGATATATTTGAACAAATTTTGGAATATTTTTAATGTAAAATTACGATTTTAAGCGGCAATCCAATGTTTACGTTTTATTTTAAATGTGACATTTTATTTTTGCGGGAACCCAACGTTGCATTTTTTTTTACTTTATACCTCCTCGGATCTTATGTTACTGCAAAATTTCAATTAAGATTAGAAAAAAATCGATTACTTATAAGTCTGTAATTATAGTTATCTGACATAAGTGTTCTCCTAAGCATTCTCGGTACCAAGCCTTTGAAATATCCAGACACTCCATCCCTCTAATAAAACAATAATTTTATCATTAGTATTTTTCAAATTTTTATTAACTTTATTATGTTTATTGAAATATTAAAAGTCTGTAAAAATTATTGTTACTCACCTTTTGCAAGTAGATTATAACAGATTTAACACTGCTAAATTCTCCTGGATAAAGTTGCATTTTAGTTTTAATTACATCAGCCGGCTGAGTGACTAGAGATGCTAATATCCCTGCTATAATACCACAAGTAAAATGCAATGGTGAGGCTGTATTTCCATCAAGCCACTCTAAAGTAAAATTATTATTTGTTAAATTTTCCATTTTTTTAAGTTTGCCTGATATATTTGAACAAATTTTGGAATATTTTTAATGTAAAACTACGATTTTAAGCGGCAATCCAATGTTTAGGTTTTATTTCAAGTAGGACGCCAATGTTTACGTTTTATTTTGGGTGTGACATTTTATTTTTGCTTGAACCTAATGTTGCATTTTTTTTTACTTTATACCTCCTTGGACTTATGTTTTTCTGATACATCAGATCAAATTTTTCATTAAAGGTAGGTAGAAGGATAGAAACCTGGAATATATGTTGAAAAAACTCTGACAAACGTTAATACGGAAATTGTCGTTATTATAAATGAAAATAATAATAATAATAATAATAATAATAATACTCAATTTTTTTTTTAAAAAACATAATTTTTATATTAAATAATAATTGATAATTATAATAGTAATTGTTTTAGAATTTATTTATTATACATACATCACACTTTTACAAAAAGAAAAAAATTATTAATAATAATAATAATAATGTAATTTTTTTTTTAATTATGGCCCGATTTTGAAACGATTGACTAAAGAAATTTTTATTTTAATAAAATGAAAAAAATAAATAGTCAAAAAAAGAGAGAGAGAGAGAGAGAAAATTAAACAAACATACAAACATAAATTAAATTTAATATGAAAACAAAAACTTTGTAAAAAGAAGACAGAAAAAAAAAACAAAACAAAAAATAGAACTACATACATTTATGTCTTCATTATTTTATTTTTTATTACAAAAATTTCATTATTTTTTTTTATCGTGTCATTAGTTTTTCAGCGTCAACTCAAACTATAATTAATTAAATAATCACAACAACAAAAAAAATAATGATAATATGGAAAATCACAAATTACACAAATTTTTAACTCAAAAAAAAAAAAAAAAAAAAAAAGAAAACGTACAAGTTTTATTCATATTTACAAAATAATAATAATAATAAAAGGGGAGGAAAAAAATAAACGCAAATGCATTTTTCTGAACACTATTTATATATACATACATACACATGTTTTATTGATAACTTATCAAAGACTCTCGTATAAGTACCTTTTTATGATTTCATTTTCCCTACCCTACCCTTCCCTCCCTCCCTCTCCCCATTTCAATTTTCATCCCCCAAATTAAATTAAATGAATCGAATTACGTGATTTGTACTCTCTTGTGTGTGAATGTGAAAAAAAAAAACGAAATATTTTTTATTCCGTTTCGTGATTTTTTTTTTTTTTTTTTTAGTATATATATTTATATATTATTTTTTTTTTAATCATACTCTGTGCACACAAAGAAAAAATTTCCGGAAATTTATTTACTCTATGCAATTTTAAAATGCGCGCGCGCGATGGAAAACTTTTACACCATCGGAAGGATGAACCTCGTTCATCCTCTTAAATACGCATTTTTTGCAACCTTTTCACACATTCATCCTTGCATTTTTTACATTATTTTTTTGTCTTTTCCTTTTTGTATCATATAAAAACTTTTATAATTTTTTCACAATAAAAAAAAAAAAAACGGAAATTCTCTCGTATTTAAATACGCCAAACAATAATGAACATCCTAACGACTGTTGCAAAATCGTCTTGGTCGTTGCCACTGCATTGGACGGCACTTGTTTTAAAATGAAATAATAATAATAATGTTAATAATTCTGATGCTTTCGACTTTGGGATGACGAAAGAAAAAAAAAAAACAAACAAACAAACGATCGAACAAGCAGAACGAACGTGGTCCGAACAATCATTCATTAACATTTCAGCCTTTTCCGTATTTAAAATACTACGGCACGTTGGGGAATGTCGAACGATCGGGAATGTTCTTTTTTTTTCTTCTTCTACTTCTGGTTCTTTAGAGATCCGGACAGGATGAATGCCTTTGACGCTAGCTGTTTGTCAAATGATGGTGAACTGCAGTTTTTTGAGCCTTTTTCTTTCTCACGGCTAACATGTCGTAAAATGGATTATGACTAATTGATTGCCTGACACATTTTATCCAATCTTCTTTTTCGTCCGCCGTCGCCGCTGACATTCTATAAACCGTGTGTTTTCCTTCGGGAGAAAAACGTTAAATAAATTCATTTAAATACTTTTTATTATTATTATGTTTGAAAGTAGCAAAATATTGTTCCAAGGTGAACGGATAATAAAACGCTGCTTACCTTCGACGACTTTTCCTTCGCTATCCGTTTTGCACGCTTTTATAAAATCAGTTCCTGTTGCGTATAATTCGAAACAGTGAGGTTTATGCCTGTCGCTCGCTTCTCTCACTTGAATGTTTTCCAAAGGTATTATACCCCTGGGCTCTTTGTCGGTGGTGTATTCGAAATAGTACAAACAATTGTCGTTCAATATAAACCATCTCCTTTTCCAACTCTTGTATCGACCCCCTGAAAATTTTAATCGTTCTTTAATTAAAAATTTTGCTCGCTTTAAAAATAAACAAAAGCAAAAAAACTCAAATCTACAAATGAAAATGAATGTGTGGGGGAGGGGACGAGAGGGGAAAATACTTGGCATCACTTGGAATAATGAGAAACAACAGTAAATTCCACCTGTTTAATTATTTAAACAAACGCCATGCCAAAAAGTAATAAAACAAACGTTAGCCTTCATCGAAAAACCCTACCTTGCTTCCAAAGCCATCCTTCCTTATCTGGATTAAAAAATGTGTGCATAAGATCGTTTCCGTCGTCTTCTGGTATTTTAAACGGTTCCGTTTTTATGCTCTCGTACAAACTCTGCAATTTAAAATAAATATTAAATTTACAAAACAATTCATTCATTTTTTTTTTTTTTCCGGTCGAAATGCCGCAAAGTTCAAAACGGCGACATTGGGCGTCGCGCACAACGTTTACAACTCCTCAAAAAAAAAAAAAAAAAAAAAAACACCAAATAATTAAATTCATTAATAAACCGAGAAATTTCACAAACAACCGACTACTCACAATCAATAATTCCTTGTTTAAGTCTCCGCCATTGTTAATCCCCCTGTTCATTGATATAAATTGTTCGGCGGAAGGTTTATCTTTCACGCTCGGATTGTGAAGGCTTGTGTTGAGCATGATTACGGCAAATGATAGAACGTAACAAGTGTCCGGATTTGTGAATATATTTGGATTCAGTTGACAGTACCTTTGGGCAAAGCATTCCATCATTCTGTCTATTTTCTGAGCTTCACCGGGTAATCTAAACGACCACAGGAACTGCCTGCGAAAGGAGAAAACAAAAAAAAAAAAAATTTTTTTTTTGTTAACGACAAATGTATTGAAAAGCATAAACAATGTCATCACCGTATCAACACAAAAAAAAAAAAAAGCTGGGGATCTCGGGGGCGGGGGGAACTCATCCTTCCATCATTTGAAATTTTTTTTTTGTTAAGTAAATCGAATCCGGTTGAATTATAAGCCCATCCTTAGGAATTCCATTTCGACAATATTTCAATTAAATAAAATTTATTCTAAACGCATATAAGACGTTTCGTGTACGACATACGAGGGTCAGATAATTTTTTTTTTTTTTTTTTTTTTTATTTTCGATTTTTAACTTATGACGCGTTTTCTTTCTTTTATAAAGGGCGTTAATAACAACATGAAAAGGATAAAATTATTCATTTTACGCGTTGTAAAAAAAAAGAAATTTACTTGGCGCGTATTATTTAAAAAAAAAAAAAAAAAAAAAAAATTTTGTTTTAAATAAAAAACAAAAAAAAGCTAAAAAAAAACACATTTTCTTTTTCAGCGGGAAGTCAACGATCATTTCCTTTATCGAAATTGAAAAACGGGTCGTCGACCTTATTACGTTCGATTAGTAACGTTCATTTCATCGCGAAATGAAAAAAAAAAAAAAAAAAAAAAAAAAAAAACGAAACCAATCAAATAAAAAAAAAATAACCGGGGGGAGTGGAAGAGTAAGAAGAATGAAATAAAATGATAATGAAGTTTCCTGTAAAGAAGCGATAATAAAAGAAGCAGAAAAAAGAAAATCATACATATTTGTAAAATGAATACGTATACGTAATAAGAGAGAAAAGAAAAGGGAGATAAAAGGGATTGCGGGGGGAAGAGGGAAACGATGATGATGATGATGACGACGACAGCAATTATCCTTTAAAAAAACAAAATGCTCTGTTTTTCGTGACCGTGTGAGACAATTAATTTTTCGTGTTAAAAAAAAAAAATTGGCAACGCAGACAGACGTTAAAAAAAAAGCTCGATCGAAATGCATTTTTTTGTTTTTTTGATGACCTTGAAACAGCGGGACAATTGGGGGGGGGGAACAATTTTTTTTTTCAATAACTGTAAGGTCCGAAAAGAAAATTTCGAACGAATCCCCATCGGAAAAAATAAATTTAAATTTACAATAGTGGAAAATTTAATCAAAGGTACCTTAAAGCTTGGACTAATATGAGATCAGTGAAATCGTGAAGTTCGACAAAAGCTTTCAAAACTTTTTCATTGAACGGATTTTTCTCCCCTAAATAATCTCCGATGGCTGTTTTGTTGAGTCCTTCACCTTTGTACAGGTACGCGGCCACGTCTTCGGGTGTCGCCTGAAGCAATCCGTGCTCTTGAAGATATTCGATTCCCTTTTTCGGATCCATGTTGAATTTCTTTCTTCCGATTGACAATTGTTTTGTTTTCGTGTAATTTTTGCTATAAAAAATATAAAAAAATTACATGAGTTCATGATCGGCGACAAAAACGTGTTAAGAACATTAAACGAAAAAATTGAACGGGAGAAAGGCGTTGTCCATGTGTTGAAAACCTAACAAGCACACGACGCAAATTTCCATTTATAAATGTGTCTGTTCTCTCTAATCGCATTTAAAACGAACGAAATAAAGAAAAAAGAAAAAAAAAGGGGAAAAAAAGAAAAGGGGGAGGGGAAACGTTCGACGACGTAAATGGAATTCCAAAATCTTTTTTAAAAAAAAATTTCTTTCTTCGGACGAACCCAACAGACGGAATTTCAATGTCAACAATATATGTCGCAAATGATTTTAAGGCGGTTCGTCGGATTCTCATCGAGATGATCGAATCATTTCCGTTACGAATTACAAAAAAAAAAGAAGGGAAAAAAAAAAAATTCTTTTTCTTCGCGCCAAATTAATTTTCGAAAATAAATAAATTTTGCTGTTGTTTGTCGTTTTCAACAATCAATAGATTACGTTCTCATTATTTGAATTTCTTCTCTCATTCAAAGTGTTCAAAATTGGAAAATCATCAAGAGAATTTTCCTTTTTCCTTTTTTTTCGAATTCGTTGTAAAATTTAAATTTTTATAAAAATTAATATCGATATCCAAAAACAAACGAAAGGATTTAAATTTTAATAAACTTAAAAATTACGTCAAAAGTTACGTGGTTTAAAAAAATTTTACCCCCCCCAAACAATAATAAATTGATTGCCAAATACGCGGCGTTAAACGACCTTTTTAAGGTCGAAAACTCGTTTAAAGGCGGAAAGACAAAAAGAAAAAAAAAAAGTTTTTCTCCAGGGAGTTTTCAAAAACTCAAAACTTGTTTCCAGTGAATAATTAATAAAGATGACGACAACCGATCAAAGAAAGGAAAAAAATTTTTTTTTATTTTTGAAACATTGACTCACTCGAAACGTCATTTTAATCGGTACGATTTTCCGATAAAATGCAAAGGAAAAACCTCGACGAAAATAAATAGAGAAGAAGAAAAACCAAAACAAAGTAAAATTTTAAACAATGTACGACCGGTTAATTACCTTTTATTAATATTATTATTCTCCAGAGGGAAAGAGAGAGAGAGAAAACGACAAAAACGTGGAAGTAAAAAAAAAAAAAAAAAATTTCCTGAGTGAAAACGGAAATGATTTCATTTATTATGATGATCGCCGGAGGGGAAAACAAAAGAGGAAGAGGAGAAAGAGGGGGAGTAAAAACGTTACAAATGAACCGAAGAAAAACTTTGCGAAAAAAAAATTTTTTTTTTTTTTTTTAGGAAAACAGGAAATGACGAGGATATACAGGATATTGAGATCTCAATGTTTACTCATGAGAATTCGGCACAAGACCCGGAAACGAGCAAAACGCAAAGCGTGATATGTGATAGTGATAATGATAACGATAACAATCGAAATGCTTAAATCTTAATGCGAAAACTTTTCTTTTTTCTGCCACAAAAATTTCTTTTTTTTTTTTATAAAATAAACCGGGTGAATGAAAATCCATAAATTTTTTGCAATTCGCGAGGTCAGCCAAATACAAAAAAAAATCAAACTAATTCTTACGATAATAATAATAATAATAATAATAATAATAAGCAGCTAAAAAAAAAAGTTTTCACCGTTGGATGGATTTTAATTTTTATCAGGGAGTGATTCAGGTAAAATTTTTGGCAAATGTTAAAATTAAAAGAGGGAGAAAGAGGAACCGAAAGACAATAAAAAAAAAATTTAAACGTGGCAATGAAATTGACGTGTAAAATTTAATTAAATTATAAGTTTTAAACGCATGTAAAAACGACTTTAAGAATCCTTTTAAAAAAAAAATAGATAGATTTTTTTTAATTTTGGCAAAAGTTAAGAGTTATCGAGTTTTACGTCAAACATTTTCTACGTAATTATGTAACGTTTTCCTTTCGTTGGTAAAACCAACCGACAATGATTTTCCCAAAGAGAAGAAGAGGAAAAAAAACGAAGAAATTAAAATAAATTTTCAAAAATTCACTTTCTAAATTTTTTTTTTTAATCAATACTGTCTTAAATTAATAAAAAATAAATTTTATTATTATTATTATTATTACTGTTACCTGTTTCGGTAATGAAAACGACCATGTTGTTGTTGTTTTTTACCCGAACCTGATTTTTTTTTTACCGTTTCCTAATCTCGACATTTAATTTTTTTTTCCTTTTTTTTTCTCATCTTTTTTTTAATGATTTAAAAAATCAATTTAAATTTTTTTTCGTGATAAAAATTGATAAATTTAATTTAATTGCCTAATAATCCTAACTAAGTACGATTGTTTTAAATAACCTTGTTTAAAAGTGAATAAATAAATAAATGAAAATTTACACTTTGTCATTATTATTCGTTTGTTTGCACCTTCGAATATAAAAAAAAAAAAAAAAATGGAATCGATGTACCTGAATTGTCGTGACATCACCTTTCCTTAAAAATCTGATTTTCTCGCTCACAAATTTGTTACTACCTTATCGAGAAACATGAAGAGAAAATTACCATGTTCGTGTTATTTATTATTATTATTATTGTCGTTTTTGTATTCGTTGTTGGTGTTTTCCAACCTGACGACGACGCAAAGCATCGGATTTTCGTTTGATTTTATATTTACTCAACGATTTATAGGTACGGATTTTGAGTATTTTTTACAAAAAAAAAATTTTTTTCAGAGATTTGCCACCGCAAAACAACAAAAAAAATTTTTTGTGTCAAAATTGATGAGAGCAAAATCAAAAAGCAAAGTTAGAAAGATTGTGCCAAACCCATGGTTGCATTTCTGAATGCATTTTTGTCTTTAATTATTTTAATCTTCTTTCGTCATTTTTTTTTTTTTTATTACTTTTTTTTAGAAACTGTGAATGTCGGTTCCCGGGTGAAGGGCATCAAGTTCAAAAAAAAAAACAATTTTCTACTGGCCTTCCTACCTAGTTTTTTTTTTTTTGGATTTTTCATTCCAAGTTTTATCTACCCAGCCAAGCCAATATGCCAAAGGGTTCTGATTTCCCTTTAATAATTTAATTATTACTATTAACGTTATTACTCTGTTTCGTTTCATAAATTTTTTTTGGCTTTTTAAAACTTTACGAGTTTTGACATGAAAAACCGGAACCGGTTATTAAATAGCTTGTGCTGCCATATAACGACGACGTTACCTTTAAAAAATTTTTTATACGTAAGCAACCGCTTAAGGGAGCAAAAATCGGCCGATCTAAATAAATTAAAATTTATGTAAAAAAAAAGAAAAAAAAAGAAAAGGAAGAAAATGATAACGGAAAAGCGTGAGTTTTAAAAAAACCGAAAAATTTTCGTGCCAAAAAGTAACATTTTAATACCTTAAATTTTTAGTTTTTCCGACGTAATACTTTCTTTGTAAATATTCAAACAATTTTCAATCAGCAGCATTTAAAAAAGGTTGTTAACTTAAAGTCTAAACTTTTTTTTTTTACTCAAAACCTCGAACAACTAAAACCGAATTTTATATTTTGAAAATTTTTTCTTTTTTTGGATAAAACAAAACAAAACCAAAAAATCGAAAAGCTTAAAGTTTTTTATGAAATTTTAATGTTTGTTCCGAATCGACGTGAAGGGGTGTAAAAATAAGGGGTGTAGGTAGGGGTTTTCGTAAGGATAATCCGACCGAAATCGTTATAACAAATGCTGATGATTCTGATTTTGATAAAGTTTATTCAAGTTTTATCCTTTGAAAAGTCAAATTTTTCACATTTATCATCTCGAAATTTACGAATTTCACAAACAAACTCTATCATCGAGGGGGCGGGGGGCGGGGCTGGGGGGGGTATGGAATATTTGCCTTGCTCTCATTTATTCTATCAGGAAAAAAAATTATTTTATTATCACAAACAAAGATTAAAAAAATTTTTTAAAAAAGTCATTCCAATGTCAATTTGGCATACCATCTCCATAATAGTAAAGAAATAATTCAAAACCTGATTTTTTTTTTTTAATACGAAATGAACTTTTTTGCATTTAGTTTTCTTCCTTAGACAGAACGACAGATCATTTTTTATTCAAAAAAAAAAAAAAAACTTGAAATTTTTTTTTTCTTAATTGAATCAAAACGAAAAAGGAAACTTTTTCCAAACAACCGTATTAAATAAGTAAATAAAAAAAAATAATAATCAAACTCTCTCGAAAAAACCACGTGAAATCCCTCGGCAAGTTGTTCCTCCCACAAACAAACAATCAAACTAACGAAAAAAATTTTTTTTAGAAATATTACAAAACCGCATTAAAATAAAATAAGTTTTCTTTTAAAAAAAAAAAAAAAAATTTTGGCAAACGACACTTGATTATCATAAAATGTTGACCTGGAAGATTTCGAATCGAAATAATAAGTTTAAATGCCAAAGCAAAAATGTTTCTACATTTTTTTTTTTTTTTTGTTATTAAGTAAGTTTTAAACGTTTGAATCTCCTTCATTTCGATCAATCAATAAAAAAAAAAAAAAAAAAAATCTTTACCTTTCGTCAGGAGTATCCATGTTTTCCATTTCCGCAACGACTTCTTGGAGTTCATCTTTGAGTTGCTGCAAATAGAAAGAAAAAGAAAATAATTAATAACAATAATAAACTAAAAGTACTATTAATAATTATGCTAAAAATAACATAGTAGTTAATGTATTGGTCCTTGATTGATACCCCATAAATTTTAAAACCTTTTTTACGTCACCATCGTGTCAACAACCGGAAAACTTTTTTGTGAACAGTAAATCGGTAGAAAAAAAATGTTTAAGTGCTACAATATGCAAATGATAACATGTTATACATTCATGGGTATGAAAAAAAATAATAAGGGAAACACAATCGGGTTAAAATTAATTTCATCACGTTGAAACCTTTCGAAAAAAAGGAAAAACGAATGAATTACACACGAAAGTCCAGATGGCTAAATTTTTTCTCACACTCGAACAAAATAATAATAATAATAAACACGCGAAACATATTTACAAAAAAAAACAAAAATGTACTAAATGCCTTTTTAAATAGTTAAAAAGAAAAATGATTAACAAATATGATTATTTTTAGACCTTTAAATTTGCCATAATTTTTATATCCTATCATTAATTAATGATATCATTTACTTGTTGTTAACAAGAAAAAAAATTTTTTTTTTTTTTGCTTCTTTTATTTATAAAGAATTTCGAAAGAATTCGTTTTCTTTTTTTTTTTTTTTTTTGCAACGTCTTTTCGAATCTACTTGTGTTTAATTTTATCATCACACATTTGACCAAGATATTGTTTGTTAAAAGACGCGGCGTCGCCATTTTTCTTTATGTTTTACGATATGTATATATATATATGTGAAAAATGGAGGATACGCATTTATGAAAATTAACTTTTAAACACGTTCGAAATGTCGTTGTCTGTGTTAACAATTTAATAAGTTACGATACCGTCGTTTTTTTTTTAAAAGGATAATTTAAATGTTATTATTTATAACAAATAAAATTTTTTTTTTTTTTTAGGCTTTTAATTACGTGATTAAATAATATAAATATTAAAAGCACTTTCAAAAAAAAAAAAATCAAAGTCGTTGTTTAAAAAAATTGATTTTAAATTTCGTACCGTTATTGTCTCACGAAACAATAAATAAATAAATAAATAATTTATTTATTTATTTATTTTAAATTTAATTCACCGATTATTAAAACCCTGGAATTCTTTTCTTTTTGTAATGGGAAACGACGCCAAAAAATTTTATGATTTGAACCGAAATTTTTGGCGAAGTTAAAAACAAAACAAAACAATATCTGTCGCGTCGTCGTTTTTTTTTTATATTAAACATTAATATAAATAAATAAATAAATATAAATAAATAATTTTGCGAATGCGAAACAACTTTTCGTCGCTTTGAATTTTAATTTTCCTTACGCATCCTCCGTTCCCTGGACAATATTCAAAAAGTATATATAGTGCCTTAAAAACATAAAATTTTTTAATCAATCATTTGCCAAATTTGTATTAACAAAAGAAGTATTAATAATAATAATAATAATAATAATAATAATAATAATAATAATAATAATAATAATAATAATAACTTCAGTAAAGGAAAAAAAAAAAAAATTATCGACGATTATGCGTTATTGCGTCGTGCAATGTCGGAAATTTAATCAATCGCGAGAACGTCATCATCATCATCTTCTGCTTCTTCTTCTTTTCATTCAATTAAAATAAATTAATAAATTTTTTTATTACACTTTACAATTTCACCGAACGGTTTATCACAAAAAACAAAAACATTTTTTTTTTAAAAACAAATTCTCCTCTTAACGGCAATTATTCTTTCATTTTTAACAATAAATTATTATTGTTGAACCGGACGCAATGTTTAACTTAACAGTATTTCGATAAGGAAAAACAAAACTGAAATCACTTAACGACCGATTGTACACTCCTTTCCATACTCAATTTGAACATGTAAATTATTTAACCTTAATAAATTTCCATGTACGAATTGTAGGCGTAATTGGCAAGTAGCGTACACTATAACGTTTTTTTTTTCCTTTATTTCTCCTTGATTTTCACAATAATTCTTTTCGAAATCGAAACAATAGAGTAATAATAATAACTCAATAAATTAAAATTTAATTTTTTTAAAAAAATCAATTCAAACTGTTCGTATTTTCATATAATAAATTGATATGATATCGTTTAAATAATAACAATAATAATGATGAATTATTTAATTTTTACCGTAAAAAAATAAAATCAATTCAAGGTAAAATTCAAAATTTTTATATTAAAAAATGCGTTTTTTTTGTGCATGATTTCTTTTCATTTTTCACATCACGAGTTTTTGTTTTTTTTGTTTTTTAAATTTGAAATTCAAACGAACGTTTACGTTTTATTTAAACAGTGAGAGAGAGAGAGAGAGAGAGAGAGAGAGAGAGAGAAACGACAACAACAACAACAACAACATCGTGCTCGCTGCAATTTTTTTTGCAATAAAAAAATTTTTATATATAATTATTAAATGTGGGTCAAAGAATACATTTTTTTTAAAATTTTTTTTCCACGAAGTAAAATATTAGTTTAAATAATTTAAAATTTAAGTTCAACTAAAAGAAAAATTTTTATTTTTTTATTTAACGGTTCATTTTCTTAATTAATTCGTATATTATCCGTGAAAATTTTGATTTGACACGTTATGAGATTAAAAAAAAAAAAAGATGAAACGTTTTCCCAACGTGGAAATTTTCATCTTTTTTTTTTTTTTTTTTTTTTTTCAAAAATTTTCTATCCAGTTAAAAATTAATTGTTTTAATGGCTTTCACATAAATCATAATTATAAAATTAACGTTGGATTTTTTTTTTTTTTTTTTTTTGAAAATTTAAAGAAAAACTGTTATAATAATTTTTTTTCAAATTTAATCTTTTAAAAAAAAAATTCAAACTTATTCTTGTGTGTGCGAGCGTGTGTGTGTGTGTGTGTGTGAGAGAGAGAGAGAGAGAGAGAGAGAGAGGTTGAGAAAAAAAAATTATCGCTTTAAATGCTTTTACAAAAATCCGATTGAATTTTATTATTTTTTTATTTTACTGTTTGTTCGTTTGTTTGTTTTTATCAACACTTCAATAAAATTTATTTTAAATTCGATAAAAAAAAAACAAAAACCTATTTTTCGAAATAGAATTTTTTTTTCTATTATTTTGATCGTTTTCGAATTGGATTCGAAAAAAAAAAAAACATTACGAATTTTAAATACGCGTTAATTATTTAGCACGTTTTCCTTTTTTTTTTGTTAATTCGAATTTACTTTTTAACCAATTAACAAGTAAATTATTATCAAAAACCTACGATTTACT